CCCCCCCCTCGCCCCACGTCCCCCAGGGTCCCCGATCGTCAGATGTCACCGGCTCGCGCCGGGAGCGCCACGCCGCCACTGGACACGAACGGGGGATGACGAGGCGTCCCGGCCCCTTTTTCTTGGGCCAGCGGGCCGAGGGGGAGAGTTGAGCCCTGGACAAGCGTTGGCACCTCATAATGGCAACAATTAACGCCCCCGATCAACACTCGTGCACGTACACGCACAAAAATAGATGACCGCCCCCCGCCCACCGCGGCCCGCAGCAGAGGCAGGCTCCCCCCCCCCCCCCGGTGCAGGACTCTCGCGCCTCCTCCCTCTGCCCAGTGGTTGTTGTCGGCCGCCCCCCTCTCCTCCGTCTGCCGACGGGGACGCGGCGTGTTCTCTCGTTCTGCGCCGCCATGATGGCGGACTTCGCACAGGACCGTCCAAAAAATAGAAGTGTGATTGGAGTGGGACTCGAACCCACGCGGTTTCCCACCAGTGCCTTAAACTGGCGCCTTAACCACTCGGCCATCCAACCTTCCAGGGTCTGTGGACTCTGGAAATAAATGGCTTCGCGGCTGTAACCATAATGTCACTTCCGACATTGCGTCGGAACTTCGCTCCGCTCACCTCCTCCGCACCTGCCTCACCTCGCCCTGCTCTGTTTTTCCCCTGCTGCCACATCCCTGCTAGATCTGGTCATGACCTTCACGTGATCGTATAGCAACAAGATCCACTAGTCGACCTGCACTTCCCCGCTGGGGGGTGCTGGCGTCGCCGGAAGGGCGACGCCACCCATTCTCTCTCAATTCCCATGTATTCCCATGTATTCCCCCTTTTCTGGGCACCCTATATAAGGGGCCCCCGTTCCTGCCTCCCCTCCAAGGACTCAGTACCTTGAAGGATAGTCATTCTCTCTTACGGAGGTTTGATTTCCCATAGTCCTGTCTCCGTACGTCGTTCCCTCTGGAGCGGTGTGACCTAGTCCCTGATGTAATCCCCATAAAGACGCAGATCACCAGCTTTCCCTTCTTTTGTTGTTGTATTCATGTCCGAGTGGTGACCCTCTCGGGACGGAACGCTCTGGGTGGTTCAGGGAAGGCCCTCACCGGTCCTCCAGAATCACATACCAGAACCGGAGCGTTTCAGCGGCGTTGTTGCGGCCTGGGCGCGGTCCAGTCTCGCAGCAGCAGCAGCAGCGGCAGCAGTAACAGTGACACTCCCCGCCCCACAGATCCTGTTCCGCAACTCTCCCCTCCCGGGTTTGCCTCACAGGACGCGCCATGGCCGGGGAAAAGAAACAGAGTTCATTGGGAGAGAGGAGAGGAAAGAAGGCCGGCTCTCGCTCATGTAGCCAACATGCACATGGGCGGTGTGCATGGGCCTCCTTCCCATGGTGCTGCGGAGACACAGGGCCAGCTTTTCCCGGAGCCCGGTGGGCGAAGGCCGACTAGGTAAGTTGAACAGTATGGACCACGTCCAGAGGCAGGCCGTGCGGGACATCCTCCAGCACGCGACAACGAAGCTCGACCGGGCCACAGTACAGCAGATCCTGAGACGAGGCAATGTCAGACATGGCGAATGGCAATCGGCGAGGAAAGGGCCCAAGCACACTGTGCCCATGACCGGGGAGGGCCGCAACATACCTGGTCCTTATCCCAGCAGAAGAGACTGTCACTGAGAAGCGAGCCAAAGGCATTCACCTCAACCACAAGCGGACGCAGGGCCACCTCGTTGAGAGGGGCCAGCTCGGCCGGCAGTGTCGTCGGAGCAGACCCTCCCTCCAGCAGCAAGGACATTAGTTGGTGCCCGGGGCTGGCAGACAGGTGTACCGTGCGAGAGGCGGCGCTGTCCTCATCCATCCCGGGAATGAAGGCCACGTCGATGATGCAGTCTGCCACCGGCAAGCGTGCCCGGAGGACATCCTGCAGGATGGAAAGATGGCCGGGAGTCAGCAAGGGGAAGCAGAGCCGCCCGGCGCCCCTCCTCCCGGCCCATACACACATGGAGGCTGGGAGCGGCACGAGGGGTTTGAGGAAAGGGCAGCCACGCACCGAAAAGTAAGCCATCGCACTACGAGCCATGGCTTCCCAGGCGGATGCCGGCCGCCAGGGGAAGACACAGTACGCCACCGTCGGGCAAATGGCCGTCACCACGCCGGAGCGCACGAAGAGGCGGAGCTGCCGAGATGCACGTGCCCGAGAGTGAGGAAAGGAAGGAGGCAGCGGGCGAAAAGAAAGAAAGAAGAAAAATGCACCCCAGCCGGGGGAGGAGCCAACCGCGCGGGCAGAGCCAGGCCACAGCGAGGGTCAGGCCGAGAAGCCGCATCCCGGCCAAAAGCGCACCTCCAAATCGGGGCAGATGGGCTGCCACTCGCGCAGGGCCAGCAGGAGTCCGGAGTCCGACAGACTCTGATACCAGGGATGGCGCGCCTCCCAGAGGAGCTCATTCTCGCGCACATCGTACATGAGCCTGAAAAGAGGGTGGAGGGGGGGGGGGGGAACATTGCCCGGGCGTGTGAGCCAATGGCCAGACGGGCGGTCCGCAACCGACAGGAGAAGCACACGCACCGCTTGCTGTCGACCAGGAGAGTGAGGACATCGGCCGGGGTGCGAGCCAGCAGGTGTTGGATGGCCGCGAGGTGCTGCGACACCTGGCCAACATGGGTCTCCACACTGGCCGACGCTTCGAGTCCCAGGGCCACCGGGTAGTACCTCCGGAGGAGGCGGCCGATGGCTTGCTCGGTTGCGGAGAAGCCCGTCCGGTTCATGGCCGCGTCCTTTGGGCTGCGCGTCGACAGCCGGAAGAAGAACCCCGGCTGCCGGTTGTGCAGCTCAGCAAAGCGCCCGGTCAGCCAGGCAGCCAGCTCTGTGTTTGTGGCTCATGTTAGGCGGATGCATGTCGGTGGCTGGCGAGAAGAGGGAGAGAGGGGGGGGGAGAGAGAGAGAGCAAGAGCCATTCACGCAAAAGGCAACGCGCCTGGCATGCCGCTGGCCGTGGAGTGGAGCAGGGCATCGGCGTCATCGGCTCCAGCCTCCGACCGGGTGAGCATCATTTCAGCCAGGGATCCCAGCAGGCCCATTGACACGGGGAAGGTGTGTGTATGTGCGGTGATCGGCTGCGCCCCGGGGTCGGTACTCAAGCACGAAATCCACTGGTGAATGTCGGCCGTGGCACTGAACGGGGAAGGGTGGTGAGCACTGGGTCTGCAAGATGACAGAGGTGCCGGAGTGTGGGAACGAGGTCCTACCTATAAATGGCCGATGAGGCGTTCACAATGGCATGGTGATCAATCGGCTGGGTGGCTGCCTCGGCTGGCGAGCGGTCGCGCAGCTGCCCGATCAACAGCAGCACCCCGATGGCATGGTACCGGAGCTGGCCATAGACAGCGATGAGGGTCAGTCGCAGCGCTTGGCAAGGAGGCATGTATGCATGCCCGCCC